CCCCCGGCTGACCGGGCGCGCGGGGCTGCAGGCGGAGCAGCTCATGGAGGAGTGGAACGAGGACCTGGACGGCATGGAGGGCTTCGTGCTGGAAGGCAAGAAATTCGCCCGCCTGCCCGAGGAGGAGTTCGGCCACTTCCACACCCACGACTGCTACGTCTTCCTCTGCAGGTGACACTGGCCCTTCCCTTCGTAGGAGCCACCAGACGCTCCCTGATCCTATCTCCTACCTGGGGCTGCCTGGACGCCCAGCTGTCCCCATGTCCCCCTCGTCACCCCTCTCTCCCTGCCCTCAGGTACTGGGTGCCAGTAGAGTACGAGGATGAGGAGGAGAAGAAGAAGAAGGGCGAGGGCAAAGGGGAGGAGGATGGTGAGGAAGAGGAGGAGGAGAAGCAGCCTGAGGAAGACTTCCAGTGCATCGTCTACTTCTGGCAGGGCCGCGAGGCCTCCAACATGGGCTGGCTCACCTTCACCTTCAGCCTCCAGAAGAAGTTCGAGAGCCTCTTCCCCGGCAAGCTGGAGGTGACGTCCTGCTGGGCTGGGGGGGCAGCGTGGGGCTGCCCCTGGCCCTGCTGCTGATGCCCGTCCCTGGCCAGGTCGTGCGCATGACCCAGCAGCAGGAGAACCCCAAGTTCCTCTCGCACTTCAAGAGGAGGTTCGTCATCCACCGGGGCAAGCGGAAGGAGCGGGCCAGCCCACCCCAGCCCAGTCCCACATCCGCACCAACGGAGGGGCCCTCTGCACCAGGTGAGAGCCCCCCGGGGCGCTCCGGGCCCGGGGGCACCCCTGGGTGCTGCCTGCACCCGCCAGCTCGGTGCCAGCGAGCACGGCCGCGCTCACACCACTGCACCGGGCTGCGTTCTAGGTGCATCCAGATCAACACGGACGCGGGGCTGCTCAACTCCGAGTTCTGCTTCATCCTCAAGGTACCCCAGGGCTGGAGCCACCCGCTGCTACCCCTGCTCAACCCCGTGTCCCCAGCGGGCAGCCCTGACCCTCTGCTCTGCCCCCACAGGTGCCTTTTGAGAGCACCGACAACCAGGGCATCGTCTACACCTGGGTGGGTCGGGCTGCCGACCCCGACGAGGCCAAGCTGGCTGAGGACATCATGAACCACATGTTTGACGACTCCTACAGCAAGCAGGTGAGCAGGGCTGCCCCACACAGCTGTGCAGCAGTGGGGCTTGGGCACCGTCTCACCTGGAAGCAAGAGCTGCTGACGGAGGGGAAAGGGCCGGTGGCTGCTCCGTGGGCCTTGGTGCTGAGGCTCAGCCCTGCCCCTGCCTTCGCAGGTCATCAACGAGGGAGAGGAGCCCGAGAACTTCTTCTGGGTTGGCATCGGCAGCCAGAAGCCCTATGATGAGGACGCCGAGTACATGAAGCACTCCCGGCTCTTCAGGTGGGTCCCAGCCCAGGAGGGGCTACTCCAGTCCAAGCTGTCCCCATTCCCAAGGCGCTCTCCCCAGGAACAGAGTCCTAAAAGCCTCATGTCCTGGATCCCCCTTTTCTCCTGCCTGACGGCGCTGGCTCTCCCTGCAGGTGCTCCAACGAGAAGGGCTATTTCTCCGTGTCGGAGAAGTGCTCGGATTTCTGCCAGGACGACCTGGCCGACGACGACATCATGTTGCTGGACAACGGGCAGGAGGTGAGGCCGGGCGCGAGGCCGCCCCGACGCCGCTGCCGGCACCGGCTCCGCGGGCGGCTCCCGGGCCGGGCCCCAGG